GGCGGGGCGCGAGGAGAGAGCGGGGGGGCCGGGCGGGGGGGGGCGGGGGCGGGGGGCGGGGGGCGGGGGGCGGGGGGGGGGGGGGGGGGGGGGGGGGGGGGGGGCCGGTTGTGGGAGAAATAAACAATTTGTGAAAAAGGAAATACTTTTCGGTGTGTGTTACATTCTTATCAGTATATTTATACTTTAATCAGCATTTACATTCAACTCTAACCCTAATGACGTTTTGTACAAGTCAGCGATCAGGGTAATATTTCTATTTTTGTAAAAGGACATTGTTACGTAAAAACCATCCATTGTTTCCACCGTAACAGGTGCGTTTGTCGGAAGAAACAATCGAACATAACCGTTGATTTAACAGGTGCGTTCAGTTATGCCTTTAACAGAAATGCTTGGCTTGATATTTAAAACCGTTAGCGAAAGACTTTTCCTACGTAGTATGTATCAACGCTTTATCATTAACTTTTGTTGTACAAAAAACATTAAGACAAAGACTCGGCGCCTTTATTACTGGATTAGTCGACCGTTTGCAGATACGTTTTGCGATAAGCGGTAGGGGATTGTCAATTCACACATTCAAATAAAGTATTCTGGCACTTGGACAGGATTGGCAAGATATTAAACTCCGACCGCTCCAAAATTGGTTAAGCAACTTTCTAAATAGGGAACAACACACAAAAGGTTGTTTGCCTATTGTGCATTATGCCTCGAAACGTGTGCTTGTTGTTATTATTCTTTCTATAATGTCGATCGCTGCGCATAATCAACTGCATATAAGAGTACCTTAACCATAGACCTCAAATTTCCCAATCCCTCAATTCCCAATTCCCAAGTCCCATCACCGTCTCAATCAACTTAATATTACACAACAATGCAAAACACCCAATCGCAAAACACCCAATCGCAAAACACTCTCGATAACCTCCTGCCCGAATTAAAACTAGAGGTCATCCTCCATCTCTCAAATCCCTCGCCACTCGCCAAATGTTCTCACGAGTGGTACAGCCTTGTCAATTTGCCGTATGTAAAATCGAAATGGCTCATCCGTACCTACACGGCGACCCACGCATTGGTAAATGCGATACGGTTGGGTGAGCCATTTATAAATCCCGCGGTCGTCCAATGCCTGCTCGCACAAAAGGCAAACATAAGCCGGTACACCGTACAGCTATTAAAGGCCGGCTTTGAAGAACGGGCCAATCTTAACGGCCGGCGCCCGTGGGGAAGTCATCTTACGGATGACACGTATTCGTTCATAATGGCAGAAGCGTACAAGAGGTACCAAAATGACGATGGCCTCCGTGATAATGACATGGAGCGTTTTTATTTTCTCTCCGGCGGACCTTCTACTATCCATGAGGCAAAAAGCATTATAAAACAAAACCTTGGCGGGATTATGTATCTAATCCAAACTTGCAAGTTTGTTCCGTTTCCTTCAAGGTCAACCTCCGACGTGCAACCCTACCCATCAACGTACGATGTCGATCAGACATGGGATGGGTTTGAAAGTGGTCCACAGGTGCATGTATTAGCACGGGCAGTTCTGTGGTGTCCAAAGTTAATTGGCGAATGGGCAAGGATCGGATACACAAACATTGTCAGTGACACCAACGATCTCGTCGTACAGGGAATGTTACAAATTTTGTTTCCGAAAATCACGAGAGCAAATTGGGTTCCGCCGACTGCGCTCACGGTTGTAAAAAGGTTGAACGATTTGATCTCGCTTGGGTTTGATGTTTGTAATGGAGTTTTGGTGGATGGACTGTTAATGTTTAGGGAGAAGGTAGTGGAGGTGGGCAGTATAATAATAGAAGCGTTTGCGGCCGTGCGACACCTTACGATCGACCAGGTGCTTGACATCTGTTTAGACGAAATTCTAAACCCAAAAAAGAAATTACAGGAACATTATCTCCTGGATTTTATAGTCGATCGGGTAGACGATCCCGAAATCAGAATAATTTCCATATTTAGGAAATATGGTGTCATTGATGATCGTCCAACCTCTGATTGCCAAATACCACTTTCACGAACTTTCCTTAAATACCCGGCACCAATATATAGATTTATGGTGATAAAGTTTGGAACAAAGGCTCAAATCGTAAGGCATTTGATGAAGCAACTCGTTGTCGGTAGGGTGGGAATTTCGCAGCATCCGAACTCTACCGCACATGGCAAAAAATGGCGGGACTTGGTTATAATTTTTAACGAATATTACAACATCAATGTTCCATTTAAGCCCGAGGACCTGTCTGTATTCAAGTCATGCTATGATGAGTTTATAATCAAAAGCCTTTTTGAAGGTTACCTCCCCAAACTTTTCGGGTACAAAGGAGGATACGATGCACCGATGACACTCCGAACTGCGGTCTTGATGCCAGTCACACCCTTGTTGCAAGCATCATTAAAACGACGTAAGGGAGCAAAAAAAGCAAAGACGGAACTACAGAAACAATGGGTGGATGTTTGCACCCAACAATCAAAAAATGAAGATGTCGTCGACAATGTCATTTTTAAAAGAGCATTACAGAAATTTCTTCAACTTGCTCAACTTACTTGGGAACCACCAAAACAGAAAAAGAAAGGCAAACGAGCAAGATTGGGTTAGTTTTTCAGGGATTTCTACTTGACAATTTGCGCTTTCAGCGAATGGACAGTAAAAATGTATATACAAGTGTTACAAATAATGAATATTGATGTAGAGTGTAAATAAAAATTGATATAAGGTATCAGATATTGTTTAATTACAAGAAAGTTAATGTTAGCTTTCTTGCTATTACTTTCGTCGTATAGATAAAAGGTAGACACTATCTAACGCAGGTTAGAGAGACTACTGTTCGATTGATTACGCCATTTTCCAATGTTTAAAAATCCACACGTATTACTTATATATGTTTATAATTTAATTCTTGTCAGCCAAATAATGGAAGACAAAGGCATCGAAGAACAATGTCATTAGGCATATTCACAATCCTTGTACGTCAATTATGAAAATAATGCCCTTGACTTATTATCCTCTAAACGTAAATCGACTTGGATGTTTTTATTTCTATCAAACAATTGGCGCATCTCTGATGTGCGTTGACCAATCTGGTCTTGGGTTAGGTTACCTTGATTTTAAATGGTTTAGTCGTTGTACACGTCACGATACTTACTTATGTCATTGCAAGTGTCCTTATGCCTGAAATCACAACATTTTTCTTTGTGCGTTTGTTTGTTGGTCACGATCGATTGTGTTTAACAGTACACGCAACAATTCATGTAAACGTTCTGCGTGGATAAACCAAAAAGTTTTTGCCACACACCTTGTATTTTACAGGTCAATAGTCTGAGCCAAACCGCAAAAACTTTTTGATTTGCCCACGCATACAATCCAAATAATAATTTACTTCCGTATTACATTAATTTTTATCATGTATCGCAAACGAAGGCGCTGATTTATAAAAACACTGTTGCTGTTAAATATTACTTAAAGTTATAATTTTACGTAAGCCGCATACTTTTTCTTGGGGAGACAACCGCTTTTAATTAGCACAATAATTGTATCAATAATTTAATTATGTGCAATTAATTAATAGTCGTTTATTGTGTTTACTAAATTGGTCGTCTATTGTTCATATTAAACATCATTTACTGATTCTTTTTCATAAGGATAAGTGCTAAAGGCTATAACATAGACAAGGGATTATGCTATATTGGATTTATGCGTAAACTTATTTCTTGTACGGATAGTGAGACTGGTTGGGACGACAAACGTTCATAATAGACATTCAAAAGAATCAATTCAAGAAGCACAAATGGACAACGGAGTAAAGAGACGTCAGTACATTTAGTGATTTTTGATTATCGCATTTATTATTAATAGACCTTAAATGTTTGTTTTCTATAATAAGTTGCACATTGCCGTCAGCGATTATTACGAAATGTAAACTCAAACATTATATATCTCATCACGATTAGACTTACTTTAGCTTATTATGCACGTATCTCTACCCGGTTAATTCCTCTCAACGGATTTGTGGATGTAGTGCGATACTGGTCAATGGGAAATAAACGATAAATATAGGCATACACA